GGTTCGAGTCCCTAAACCCTAAACCCAGAGACTCCAATACCCCTTGATTAAGGCATATACCTTAAATCACATTAGGGATCCTACTATAATTTAAGGTACATTCCTTAATTAAGGGGTATTGGAGTCTCTGGGAACCCAAAATCTAAACTCGAAGCCCAAACCCCAAACCCAAAGCCCAACCTCTGAACCCAAGGACCCCTTCATAGCAGCCTGTATAGCCGAAGTCTGCAGATGCTCGTCCTCAGCGCCCGAAGACGCAGACGAAGCTGCCCCAATCCATGAGGCAGAGCGTTTAGGGGTTTAGGGTTTAGGGTATAGGGGCCAAAATAATTACCCACACTATTTTCGGGGTTCCCTGTTATAGCCCAAAGCCCTATTTAATCTAATCATTAAGGCCCCTATCTTGGGGGTTTGGGCTTTTGAGGGTTGAACCTCGAGGAAACAGGTCTGCTTCGCCTTGGCCTTTTCCCATGAGTCGAGGCTACGGAGCTACTAGTTATAGATGAGTAGTTGTCAAAATTATGGTCCCTTTTGGGGTACCCTAAATAATAGGTGCCGTATTATAATAAGGACCCACAAAGGGACCATAATTTTGACAACCACCCATATAGAGGATCCTAACCCCTAACCATGAAGATAGGTATCCTGCCGTAAGCTGTCGTTTTGATTTGAGTGCTCCTGGCATCTGGGGGTCCGAAGAGTGGGCTCCTTGTTTCTGATATGTCTGGAGCCATGTCCATGGGCTCATGATCTAATGAGCTCGATTTTGAGAGACAGACATAATATAGGGGCCTTAAGAATTAGAATGGGGTTTGGGGTATCTTATACTATATCCAAAATATGGAACTCCCAAACCCTATTCTAATTATTAAAGCCCCTGCATGAATGTCGGTCATAAGTCTCGACATACTGGGATCCTTCATGTACCGTACCCTAAACCCCAACCCCCGAAACTGTTTTTGAGCACCAACTCTAAACCCTAAACCCTACAAAACCCTGCTCGCCACCATGGGCTTCTCTGAAGGCTCCCGAAAAATGGCACGGCCCTCCTCTGTTAAAGATCATAGCAAAATATGTCCGAACTCAGTAAACTACTTTAAATAATTCGCTAAGCCATAATTGGGCTCGAAATGCTATCGGAGTTTAATTACAGAACTACCCATGGGCTCCAGAGCAGTTCCTTTGAGTGATTTATATTTAGGATCCTAAAAGGTAATCCCCAAAAGGAGCTGCCATGGAGCCTACGGGTACCCAGAGACTCCAATATCCCTTAATTAAGGAATATACCTTAAATCATATTAAGGATCCTACTATAATTTAAGGAATATTCCTTAATTAAGGGGTATTGGAGTCTCTGGGTACCTACATCACAGGCTCCCCTTGTTCTTCGATTCGAACGCGAGCCCTTCGCCACTACCGGTGGACTCCGAGTACTGCGCACCTTGACATTTTCGGGTTTAGAGTTTACCCATAGGCCCTAAAGTAGTTCCTTTTCGGGGTTCATATATAGAATCCTATAAGGTAACCCCAAAAAGGAACTGCTATGGGGCCTATGGGTAGGTAGACCCTAAACCCTAAACCCTAAACCCTATAAACCCTACACCCTAAACCCCCATAACAGTGCCTAATTTGCCCCAAAAAGGAACTGCTATGGGGCCTATGGGTAGGGTTTAGGGTCTAGGGTCGCGCCTTCGGAGGGTGGGAGTCTAAGGTTCTCAGGGTTGTTTTTAGGGTTTAGGGTTT